CGTTCTGATTATTGGAGTCCTTGGTGGAATGATGTCTTCTCTACTCTCGAATCTCAAAATCATACCGGCTTGCCGCACTAAGGCAGAAATCTTAGCCGCACAGATGCAGAAGGCTGTCATTCTTGGCTCACTGCGCTTGCTCAGGGCACATGATTCTCGGACCCAATGATCACTTACCCCACGGTGTGGGGAGTGGTCATTGGTTGATAATGCTGGCTTTGGGGAATAGGGCCTGACCATCGCACACTACCTTTAAATAATAATATAATGCTGGTGCGCTCTCCCGAATGTATCGGGGCTTTGAGGGATAGGGCCTGACCAGCGCACACTACGGTGTTCGCCAGCCAGATAATAGAATTGTGTTGGAAAATAAAATGGTGTAGGAAATGTCCATACAAAATATAAATTGAAAAAGAAAAGAGGGGAAGATAGGCTCATACTCTAAAGCCAAGATGAATTATAAAAATAGTAGATACTCCAGTGATCAAGTATATAAAGAGACAAAAACGTTTGATCTGAGACAAATATACTTTGAACAGCTGAATATTGCAGTACTCCAAAAAAAATTGACCTTCTCAATCTGGATCATATGTATCTTACCAGAGGAAAAAACAAATTTGTCCAATCGCTGATGAGCAAATCAGTAGGCCAGAAAAGTCATCAATTTTTGGGTCCAAGGGCTTCCAACACTCTTCCTGATGAAATAAAAATTCAACAATCGATATCAAAATTCAAAAGAGAATTGAAAACATATGTATATCAGAGGAACCGGAGAGCGATTCACCAAATTATTGAAAAAAATTGAAAAATAACATCTTACAGCAAAATTAGTACACAAATATAAAGGATATCTTCTATGTACCCCGGTTTCATTCGTTCTGTTCGAGTGTTGATTCATTTGTGGTAGTTTTAGTTTGGTTCTAATTACACCTTCTCCATAAAATTTTCAAAAGAAAGCTGTTAAAATTTCACGAGATAAAAGATCTTGGTATAACATACGACAGTAAATTAACATTTACAACACATATCGAGTGGTCCAACGAAAAGTATGCACCTTGCTTTTCTCCTTTTTTTGTAACCTAACGCAAAAATGCTCGAACAGGTCCATTTTGCTTTTGAGGGGGACACATTTCATATGTATTTTTCTACCTGTGCCTTCAACCCCCTAGCGAGGGTGAGTAACAACCCTAAAATTTTAAATGGAAAGTGGGGTCGAGTGATATATCATTTGAAAGGGCACAACATTTTCTTTCCAATGATACCTAATTTTTTGTATTTACTTAAATAGTTATAAAAAAAGCAAGAACATTTACTCGATATTTTTGGTGT